GGGGGGGGGTGGTCGGGCGGAGAGAATGAGCTTTCGACTAAAGCTCAACACTTGAAATCCTAGTAGTTGTCGTCGGTCACCCGAGAACATTAGAGTTCATTGTCAACCACCAGAGATTACCGACGAAAAATCGCCTTCTACTCCTAGAGAAGTTGCCAAACAGAGGTTTCCGTAGACCACAAGAGAACACCACAGCCCCAGAAATCATCATGGCTATCCAAGATCATTTTCGAACACCTCTAACGCCTTCTATGGCCCAATTATTATTCTTAGGCTGTTGTTACCCGATTTTTACTCAATAATCATACATTCTCCATTCAGTGAGAAAGGTATAACTAAAATTAAAAGTGGATTACTTTAACTAGGCAAAGTCCTATGATTTTTCCCATTTTTAGGTTTTCCAATTTAAAGATTATGGTCTCCTCCCAGAACTTTTCTTTTATCTGTGTGGTTGATCTTCATGAAACACTAAGATATTAAATTATCACTGTATCAAAGCAAATTTCCTGGCACCTAATAATTTGGCATCGTCAGTGAGAATCACAGTCTATCATTTTTTTTGGCTTTTAAGCATGAAGCTCGCAACAACGGATCTTGTAGCTCAAACACCCACCATTTTAGAGGAGAATCATGAAGCCATAGATGTTTGGTATCTACTTTTATTTCCCTAATTAAGCATAGCCCTACTGGTGAAGTTCTCTCTTCACAACCCTTGGAAGACAATGTGTGCAGAATGGAAGAACCTCATAATATGATTCATCAGCTCTTGCTCGATGTTCGACAACTGACACTAACGGTAACAAGTAGAGATTACTTATCATAAGATCAATCACAAGTTGAAAATGCCCAACTCAAGAATGCTCGTCTAGAGCCCCCTCCTCAACAGAAAGCTGACATCCTGACACTGCTAGTTCCGCAAACAAATCTTCTGCAGCTCAACCAACGCTCTTGGGGAATTCAACGCAATTTTGTCTTGTAATTCGTGATGCGCTACAATGTCTAATTTAAAAGGAGTCCCTCTAAGAGATAAATCACTTTTTCACTTATCATGGTTTCCAAGAATCTTCGGCTTTAGCTAAGGTGGTCATTCAACACCATATCCCAATAAAATTGAAGCTCTCAAATTTTGACTCTACTGATGAGGTATATGATCCATTGGAAAGTATTAATCACTATAGGACTATCATGCACATACAACAAGCCTTTGATGTGCTCCTCTATCAAACTTTCCCTGCCACACTCGTAAGGGGCAAGCTCGTACATTATTTTATTCCAACTAGGGAGGAATTATTCACACCTATGATGAATTAGCCAGTATTTTATTCCAACTAGGGAGGAATTATTCACACCTTTGATGAACTTTATCGAGCAATACATGGCAAATCAAAAAATTGTCATAGACTTCTCTCACTTTTTGGAATTCATAAAACTTGGAGAGAGTCGCGCAAAGATACTTTTAAAGATTCTCCGCTAAAGCTCGTTAAATTCCAAGAGTGGATCCATAGTTATTGAGTGGTGTCTTTTTAGGAAGGCTACATCTAGGGATCTACTCATCATTAATGCGAAAGGCAGTCCATTTTTATACTAACCTTATCTATCATATTGAAGCATAAATCACTACTGATGAGGCTATCAATATTCATAAAAAGTAATTTGAGTTACTCATAAGCATAAGAATATCTCTATACATACTAATCAAGCCTCACGACAAAAGAGATACGAACAAGGGAACTATGATATAGCTCAACCTGCAAACCAGCAATGCGAGCCCCAAATAAAGCATGATAAATGCCACTCAACGCAGCACATGTTGACATTTTAACGATCATTCAAGATAAAGAATATATTAGATATACATCCCCATTAAAACTAAATTCAGTTAATCAAGAATAATATTATCATTTCTACCGAAGTCGTGATAATCCCACCATATCACGCCAACAACTTAAGGAAGAAATTGAAAAACTGACTCGGCAAAAATGTTTTTGCCGATTTAGACCAAACAAATAAGCTCATGTAGATAGCACCCCAAGTAGGAGGAAACAAAACCAAAAGCAACAACATAAAAATAGCAAAATAATTGGTAAACTTGAAACAATTATTGGACGTCTAGTATTATCAAACCAGGCCTTCATTATTGCACCTTAAGAACTATCGTAGAAAAAAATCTCGCGTTAGTTATTCCATCACCTTTAATGAAACTAATCTAAAAGGAATTTAGATCACACAGCAAGACGCACTTGCCATAAGAGTGAGAAACTGGCTAACTTTAATATATCGTCAAGAGAATTTGATTGACAATAGGAGGTTCGTTGATGTTTTATCCTACTAAACATATTTCAGTCTAATTTTACCAAAAGACTTCCAACCTACCACTAGAACTCTTCACGGTTTTGATAATCGTAAGGTGAGCATGCAAGGAATAGCGGCCCTTCCCTTCACATTGAGAGAATCTTCCAATCAAATGACTCACAGGATAAAATTCATAGTCGTCGAGTCAAAATCAGCATATAATGTCATCTTTAGAGGATCTCATTAAACAATATTTTGTATTGTTGCTTGTGTGCCACACCTTAACACACAGTTTTCTACCCGTACCGGAATTCGTATTATATGAAAAAAATCAACAGATAGCACAATCATGCTACCTCAAGCAAGCTCAAATGTACCCATCGGTGACTCTCAATATCAAAAATTTTGATCTTTAAAATAAAGAAATCCTAATGAGTCTCTCCAATCAAAAACCTGATCTGCATCCAATTGTTCGAGGAACATCCCTATTAGATTATGCAACTTGGCTCTTTACTCTGATGAGCAAAGGCTAGAGTATACAGAATATCTCTGTAAAAAGCAAGATGTTTGCTTGGAGTTCAATAAATATGCTTGAAGTCACCCCAAAATACTTTTAACATTCAAACTAGTAACCCGGAAAAAAATGAAACATTGCACTAGATTATCAGCATACAATTGAAAAAGAAGTCAACAAAATTAAATTCATATGAGAAATGCACATCCTACATGTTAGCAAATGTTATTATAGTTAAAAAATCAAACGAGGCATGGAGAATGTGCAACGACTATACTTAATAAAGCTTGCCCAATAAATAGTTTCCCTCATTATTGTATAAACCTGCTCATTGATGGTATATCAGGACACAACTACTTGGCTTCATGGATGCTTATTTTTCTTAAAAGCATATAAAAATAAATCAAACATATTAAGAAGCAACTTTCATTCAAATAGAGAAGGATTTATATTGTGATCAAGTCATCCATTTCGAGTTGAAAAATGTCGGCACAACCTATAGCCACAAGAACAAAGTTTTCAAAACAATCATCAGACATACTATGAAATTATATGTTGATGATATCATGATGAAAAGTATAAAAATATATTAACATATTTCTAATCTAGAAGAGTATTTTCAACTTCGGCATTATGATATGTGATTCAATATACTCAAATACTTCTTTAGAGTCACATTAGACAAATTTCTCAATATCATGGTCACTCACCAAGGGATTGAAGTAAACCCTAAAAAGATCAAGGTAATCCAAGACATGATAAGCCTGAGGTACATCAAAGAGATGTAATGCTTGAATGGGAGGATAGTCACATTGTCTCGTGTTTTGGCTTGCTCTAGAGACAAATATCTTCCTTTTTCAAGATATTGAAAGGCGCCCGAAGCATGGGTTTCCAAAAGAAGGATGAATAAGCTGCTTTCAAGCAGCTAAAGATAGACTTGGGTTTACCGCCCCTACTACCAAAACATATTCAAAGAGACATCTTATACATATATCTTGTCATTTCCCCTTGTGAGATAAGCTTAGTCCTAGTAAGGGAAGAGGGAATGATGCAACAACCTATCTACTATGTCAGCAAGATTATCTCTGACATAGAATGTTCTTATCCACGAGTGAACAAAGTAGTATTGGCTCTAATATTGTTAGCACAAAAATTACGCTCATATTTCCAGACCCGTACCATTGGTTTCTACACACACCTTCCATTAAGAGCTATCCTACAAAAATCTGAGATGTTTAGAATATAGAACCTGGAGAGTTTGATATTCACTTTCTACCTCGGTTAGACATTAAATCACAAGTACTTGTAAACTCTGTGGTTGAATACTCTATTACTATCTAGCAACATACTCCCCCACTGACAGGACCTTGATGGATTCTGGACGTCAATAGAGATTTCGGAAGCTCTAGAGCTAAGGTTAGAATTATACTTCTCCCTCAAGCAGGAGACTTTGGAGT